CTAAGGAAATCTGGGAGCGGGGTGGGGGGATGGTTTTCCCTAGGGAAGAGCACACCAAATGGTTGTCTAATGCCAAATGGACAGCCCTGAAAATATGTATATGAGTAACATTATCAATTAATGGAGGAAAAACCATGAATTTAAAAGTGAGCAAGGAGGGGTGAATATATGGGAGGGTTTGGACAGAGGGAAAGGAAAGAGGAAATGATGCAATTATATTATAATCTCAAAAGTAAAAGAAGGAAAAAATAAGCTTTCTTAAACCTGAAATTTCTTCCTATCAAATGAACAGTAAAGATGAAAGTGACACAAAGAATGAACCTCTAATACAGTACCAATGAAGAAGACAATGCTCAGAGAACATTTACATCATTGGAGAAAGACAAAAGTCAAGACACATCTCCCTGAGTCAACAGTTTTAATGAAAGGGGTATATAAATAATATCGATAATGTTATGAAAATTCAGTGATAGACCTATAGAAGGAAACCTCAAAAAAGAAAACAGTCATGAAGAAGTTGCAATGATCATCATCTGCTTTTCTTAAATCTTCTGCCCCAAATGTTTCTATTTCCATCAGAAAAGCATCTAATACATTCATGATAACAATTACAGGCTTTCCCTCAATACAACAATTTAGTTCATTAGGAGACTGCTTCAGTTGTGTTTTTATTACTTAGTGCCTCATAAACAGCTATTTTCTATGTCATATTCAGAGATGACTTTCACTTTGGAAGTACTGGATGGGGAAAGAGAAATGAAAGTACTAAAATGTAAAATAAAATTATTCAAGGTAAGAAGACAGGTCAATCGACACAGTAAAACACATATGTCCAAATATCTCAGATACTGGGTTCACTATCAAAAACAAAAAGACTGAGATTTAAAGACACCCAAAGTAATAGAACATGTGTGTAATACAAATGTGTACAAGTAAAACCACACCAAATATGGTCCTATATTCTGTTTTAATTACTTATTTCATTTTTGAGATTATAATTATATCATCCCTCCCTCTCCCCCCTCGAAACCCTACCATATACTTCTCCTTCCTCTTCTTTTCATTAAATGTTGTTGCATGCATATACATGTATACATATACATATATTCCTAAATATATCCTATTCAGTTAGAAAATATTTTGGAAGAGTGAGCAGAAAGAATTGTAAGAGCCAGAGGACCGGGAGTCTACTATGAGATTGTGACTTTTAGTAATGTCATTAGCTATACCCATAAAGTCTCACCAATATGACTGTCCAAACATGAGCTGAACAAAGAAAACAACAGTAGACAAGCCAAAGTGGACCAGAAAGACCATAAGGGATTCAATCCTACACAAAGAACTATAAGCAACTAAGGAATACAGAGAGCAGGAGACAAAGTCTTCTCCAGTATTAAGTACAGCAATAGTTTATCCAATACTAAATGGTCAGCCCTAAAAACATACACACAAAGAACATTATACAGAGTAACCTAATTTCTGACATAGCATGTATAATTTATGTTAACATAACTTAATTTGTTCTTAATAATACTTAAATATTCAATGGAATTTTGCCTAAAATGTACCAGTTGCTGTAGTAGTTCTTGGGAGACAAGACCTCAAAACAACTTTTCTGTTCTGTATAACTTTGTTCACTCATTGGTGCTTTACTCTTCTATGTTCTATCACGTTACCACAAACTTGCTGGGTTAAACAGCATCCAGATACTATTTCATGGATTCTAGGAGTCAGGAGTCCAGGCCTACATTAGTGGGATTGTTTCTATTTTGTTTATCATATTAAAACCCTGTAATCAAAGTGTTAGCTGGGAATGGATTCTCATCTGGAGACACAAATGATAAAGGATTAATTTCCAAGCTCAATGAAGTAAGTCATAGGCAGAATTCCTTTCCTTGCAGCCACTGTCTACTTCAAAGCTATTGAAAGTTCCCAGAGAATGTTTGGTAGCAAGATACACAATGTAACATAACGTAGGAGTGGCATTCCATGTTTTCCATTTTCCATAAGTTACAGTAAGTCAGAGATCTCATGATAGAGGACAAGAAATTTTTAAGTGTATAAACATCCTGCACTGAGCATTATGGGGGCCATATTGAAGCCGTTTGCTACCATTTTGAATAAATACAAAAGGTATTTACAAAATAGTATGGAAAATACTGAAAGGGTCACGTATAAGGCTGTATATACATTATGGGTGGTTCAAGACTTTGAAGAGTAAGAACTATCAACTCAGACAAAGAAGATGTTGTAAATGTTAGGTTTGTGCTCCATACAGGGAGCCCGATAGAATGAAAAACATCCCACTGGGAAAATAAAAAATGCAAACATTCAGACTATGTTTCATTTTGTTTTTATCCTGTGAATTGTTGAAACCTGAGCAAGAGAAATATCTCTACAATAAGCCCAGCAAGACATTCAATAAGAATACATACTTTATTAAGTATTTAAAGGGAAAGGTGTTTTAAAATCATGCTCTTCATTCTTAGAGGAAAGTATTTCCAATGCATATTAAAGAAAAAACATTTAGTGTGTTCCCATCGTTATTTTAAATAGTGATCTCCTAAGATCTTGGTATATCCTTGGTCCTGAATGATTCCCAGCTCAGCTCTGAATATTTTGTCAGTCTCTGAAGTAATTATCTTCTGAGAAGAAAAGCCTCATGGGTGGGAGAGCACCAGCTGTTGTAAGCTTACTACTACATGCAAAGAGAACAGCCAATTGCCCAAATAAAAGAGGTATTGAGGCCAGGTGGAATTGTTTATTCTAATTTGCTCTCTATAGCTGGAATATGGCCAGTTAGCTTTTTAAAACGTGTTTGTAAAACAATAAACTATTATTGACTGTAGGAAAACACTCTCTTATGATACACACTGAAACTTCACTTCAAGAAGACCCCTGCAACATGAAGACTGTAGTTCAGAGTTATGCATTTTTATTTACTATTTCTAGTGAAAGAGTATGTTACCACTGTTCTGGCATAAAAAAAGAAGGGTAATTAAGTGAGATGATGGATATATTCATCTTATTCCCTCTAGTAACCATCTTACCATATGTATTTGCCTCAAAATATATGGATAGTCACATACATACAAACATTTTTAAAGGTCATCCCTGGACTTGGTCCACTGCTAAATACCTGAAGATTGTCATATTTATCAGCTGTTCCATTTAACAGTAATTCCAGAAAATGGGGCTTGAGAGTGTTAAAGTAACAGGTTCATTTAATAATTTTTAAACAGTATGTATGAGGTAACCCATAAGAATACCCTGTGATGAGAAAAACACACATCTTCATCAAAGAAAAAAACCTGAAAATAATTTAGTGAACTGAGGAGTCCAGCGACAGTATTGGTATTTGTTAAAGATTGATCAAGTCACTTGCTCTACTGTTCTTGTCATCTCAGGACAATTTTCTTAACAATGCCTGCCCCTTTTATTCAGGCTGATTCCAAAACATGATTTCATTCAGAGTTCTACACTTCTCTGTTTACATCTAAGAGGCTGCTTCCTTCAACTGTTCAACAAAAACCCTGACAACTAAGGGAAAAATACCGTATTTGAACTAATTTATTTAGCCATTTGTTAATGGACTCCATCCAATGACTTTGCAAATGTGTATGATTCTATTGCTCCACCAGTATGTTACTTAGTATGAGGAACTGGTTGCTTAAATGAATAAGTTCTACAGACTCCCCAGCATCTGCATTTCAACATATTTTTCTTAACTTTAGTCATCACTGTGTTCATATTACAAGTGGATGTATTAACCTAGGGGGTACCTGGAAGTCTACTGAGATGCATGGGAAGGCCATAGCCCATCCTTTGGGGTTTGATAATGCACCAAATAATATGACAACTGGAAGATATCACTCTTAAGTATCTCAAATCAAAACTTTAGTTCAGCACAACTCAGAATCACAGTATCATAGCTACACAGATTTAACCTGCATGTCTCCTTAAAAATTGAACACCTATTTATAGTAATTACATGATAGGAGTAGGGGAATAACCCTATCCAGCCAGAAGCATATACTTCATCAGTTTATAGAATAATCCTGGAATGTTACTTAATCCTGCCACATCAAGAATCCCTTTCACAATATTCTTTTGCCCCTAAAATTTTCCAGGCCTTCACATATCTCGAAAGATACCATGATACTTTTAGGAGCCAACCAAGTTATACATAATGCATTTTATGTTCCTAAATTAACAGAGTGACTTTAGATCTGTGAAGGGTGTTAAAAATTATATAAGCTATGCAAGTATTTTTATTTGTTCAAACATTTCTAGGTTTCTTCAGGGTTTAAAAGTTTCAGAGAACTTTATATTCCTAAACAGACCCAGCTTGTAGTGTATGGGAAAGGGGTGTTTTTAAAACCTGCCCATTTTTCCTGAGGAGCCTCACAACTAGCTTTCATTTAACGTGTTTTTATTTTTCAAAATGCCAAACCAGAAACCGTGTAGATCTCTTTTTGCTTAGTTGTAATTATCATTCATTGAGTTCAGGTCATGATGACACAGAAATTTAAGTGCAAGCAGTTGATTTGAGAGAGAATCTCAGAAAACAAAAAACAGTAGAGAATGGGAAAAATAACAGCCAATTTAGGCATGCTGTCGGTGAACAGGTGTCTCACATGGGCTTTTATTTAATTCTGCTGCACTTTCTGGGGATGTGTATAGAATAATTATCCATGTTTACTCCTTTGGGGGGGTCAATAGCCCTGGATTTTATTATTCAAACACCTTCCATCATTGTTCGGAGGACTGTCCACACCACAAGGGGGCATTAACTCAAGAATAATCCTCCTGTGTCAATGTAAAAGCCAAGGAAAAGTCCGCAAGCAGATTTACAAGTACCTACAGAATGAAGCAGATGGAATGCATTGCTCCAATAAGCAAAGGGAATCCACACAGGGCCCCAACATAATTTCAACAATGACCAAAGGGAGAAAATGTATGCTGTCTGATAATTATCACTGGTTGGCTTTGGTTGTTACCTTATAAGAGTTTTGCAGTCAATAGAATTCCAGTTCTTGAGTGGTTACTGAAGCCATTTCTTTTATACAACAAAGTATCACAGGGTTATTGAAGCCATTTCTTTTATACAGCAAAGTATCACAGCAGAGAAAAATAGCCCTAAATTGGAATGAACAGAGTTGCTTATTAGACCAGACTCTGTAGCATTACCTACAATAATTAATAGTTCTGAACCTCAGTTTCTTTGATATAACTATGGCTCATATGCTAATAATAGCACACACACACACACATACACACACACACACGCACACACGCACGCACGCACGCACGCACGCGCGCACGCGTGCACAAGACACGATTTGAATCCCTTCACAAGTATTAGTTCACATATCTCTCATGATATTTGATGGCATGAAAACTATTTTTATTGTCTCCATTTCACAGATATAAACATGAGTTATGAGGTGACTGAGCAATTTAAAATAGGTCCCACAGTTAATAGGAAAGAAACACAAGTAGTCTGGTTCCAAAATGTGGAACTTTTACCACCACTATGCATCTAAACACAGCTGTGGCTTTAATATAGATAGTATCTGTGTGTTAAAAACATTTTTCCCACAGGAATAATGTATGCACGTGGTAGCTGACGCTAGGCCCTCTCCAAACCTAGGGGAAGCTGAGCCTCACTAGCTACTGTAGCCCAGGCTCTTGAAGAACAGGGAAATAAAGAAGGAAAAGTAAGCCAAACACAAAAGCACACACACAGCCTCCCTGTGGAGGGACAGGCTTCCCTTACTTGGCCTCTGCAAGGTTTTGAGCTTGAACAGCTTGGTTCCCTGTGTGAGCGGCCGGATCTTGAGCACGGAGAAATCCTTGGCTAGGGCCTCAGCAGTTGGAGAAAGGAGGAGAGATCTGGTATGATTCTTGTGCTATGTGAAACCCCCCAGTGGTCTGGAGCACATGCATCACCTCAAACTGCCAAAGCCACGTACTGTCAGTAAAGCTGACGGTGTCACCTTGTGCCCCAAGTGGGCACTGCCTGTACTGTCAGATTCTCACAGCAAGATGAGCAGGTTCTGCCTGTGAAAGCTGGAGCTTAGACCAGAATCTCCTTCTACCCCCCAAGATCCCCAGGGACAACAGTACTTCCTGCACATTGGGCCAAGGTGCACATGACTTCAGGACATAATGTGTTATTTGGACAAAAACTGATACCAGGACATGATGCACTCTTGCTATATTGTTTATGGTAGGTCCATGAGGCAGCGTACTGACTGGTTTTGTGTGTCAACTTGACACAAGCTAGAGTCATCAGAGAGGGAGGAGACTCAGTCGAGGAAATGTTTCCATGAGATCCAGCTGTGAAGCATTTTCTCACTTACGGAAGGCCTAGTCTATGATGGATGGTGCCATCCCTAGGCTGGTGGTCCTGGGTTCTATAAGAAAGCAGGCAGAGCAAGCCAGGGGAAGCCAGCCAGTAAGCAGCTCTCTCCATAGCCTTTGCATCAGCTCCTGCCTCCAGGATCCTGCCCTGTTTGAGTTCCTGTTCTTCCTTTCTTCAGTGATGAACAGCAATGTAGAAGTATAAGCCAAAAAATAAACCCTTTCTTCCCCCCACCCCCAAAAAACATTTTTCCCACAATGACACTCTTGGGATTTGGTGGAACCTTAAGAGCTACAGCATGGCAGAGTTATTTGGGCAATGGACATGTATCTTCTAAGGGGATTGGTTGTAAGACTCCAGCCTCTCTCTATCTCTTCTGCATATAATTCATAATATAAGCAATATGGCAAACCAGATGCCCATGCCATTATGTGCACCTTTTGCCTGAGACTCAAAACAACCAGACCACAAGATCTTGGAATGGAAGCTCTAGAAATACGAACTTTATCTCTTAATTATTGACCTTGTTGTCATATTATAATAACACAAAGCTGATTTATGTACACAGTAATCTCAAGATCCCTTTCATTACTAATATTAGCAATCTTGGGCTCCTGATGAAATCAAGTAGGAGAATGCCACATTGTTCTGTCGTGTATTTCAACTTCTGCTGTTTGACACAGTCCAGCTTATGCCTTTCCTCTTTTGGAGAAATTTCAAAGATGTATTTTAGAAGTTAGGGATATGCTACAATATCATGTATCTAACAGGTCTTAATATACTCCTCTAGAGCCAGGCAGTGGTGGAGCACACCTTTAATCCCAGCAGTCTGGAGGCAGAGGCAGAGAAAGATGTGGCTTAAATACTTTTCTTAAAATATAAGTGAAATATCTTTTCAGTATTCTTTCAAATATTTCCTCAGCCATGGAAGCTTTAGACTACCAAAATCCAATCTTCTGTCAGGTGTATTACTAGGGCATATATCTTCCAAATATAAACTATATTTGCTCAAGTAAGATGCCATGAACTAGTCATCATGAGTATCAGGGGAGAATTTTCTACTGAAATGTGGAATATATCAGTTCAGGTAATCATTAGAGGCCAATTTTATCTTCTGAACTATGATCTAAAAATAACTCTAACTATCACTTTCGGGTGCCTGAAAGTTTCTTTTAAAATCCTATCATTATGATGAAACTTATTTAATTCATCTAAAAAATGTGCTAATTTCCAGTTACATGCTTTTCTTTATGCTGGGAAATCAGATCTAGGGATATGCCCTTCAAGATGATTAAAATATAACAAGTGAGGGGTTCAATATTATGAGAAAGTGAATGCATACAAGGATATACATGAAGCTAGTCTCCAAATGGAACATGAATATGAAATTGGCCAGCATCAGGGATTACAATACTGTTTAGTAGTTTTGACTGCAGTTCATAATGCTATTGTGTGTTTATTCACTTATAAAGTACATACTGTTTACTTACTACTTGCCAAGATTTTCCTGTGAAGAAATAAATATCTTGCAACAAGTAAGATAAAATCTAGATTATGAGAGTCTGCCTTCATGGAATTTGCAGTTTATTCTGGTGTTTTACAGAGGCATTAACATATATTCTTTCCTTGACATGTCCCTGTAACTGACTTCAAGGAGCAAAACCTGGTCTCTTATACATATATCCTGATTATCTCTACTTTACACCCTCACTAAGTGATTGAACAAGGTCAATGAGGATTTTATTTATGTGCTTTAAAAAATCATAATAATAAACTTACCCTGTTGTAGAATAGAATATTTATTTAACTATGTAAAACTTTATTGCTGCCTCATTTTGCCTACCTAAGGTACCTGATGGGTCTAATAAAAAGTTGAATGCTCAAGAGCTGGCCAGAAGATGGATAGGTGGAGTTGGTGGGCAAAGAAAAAAGGGGTGTTATCCAGTCAACCAAGGGCCAGCCAACCAGATACAGAGGAAGCAGGAAAACAGTATAGACAGTACATAGATTGAAGTAAACAAGCCTCAGTGGAGCACATAGATCAATAGTAATGGATTAATTTAAGTTTCAAAAGCTTAGCTAGAAACAAGCCTAAGTCTGAGCATTAGTAATTAATAATAAGTCTCCATGTCATGATTTGGGGGCTTGCAGTTTAAGAAAGCCTGCTACATTTAGTGCCCAACATGGGGCACATATCTCCATGTGGAGCCCAACAAAGCTGAAAAGAAAAAAAAAAGACATAGCTTCCCAGTAGCCCAGTGCTCATAGCATACAGAGGTACAACTCTGACCTTAAGTGACCACTTGAGTAGCTGGCACATTAAGTATAAACAATAAGCTAAGTAAAAATGTCTGCCAGAGTGAGGGCACCAACTTCCTAGAGCCTGAAGCAGTTGAAGGCAGCTCCTTGTTAGATGCAGTTCCAAACTGAACACAGCTCTCTGCCAGTCCCACAGGCATAAGGATCTGAGGAGGGGGCAGAGCTAGCCACCAGAGTTCCAGAGGAGGGTCTAGCTGCCATTTAGCCTTTTAAGGTTTGTCTCAGTGGTCAAAAAGGCTAGAGATACACAGTAAAGCAGGTACAGACATAAAAATTCTAAACAGGTTATAGTGTGTATAAAATGTGTGTAGGTGCTTAAGAAAGAAAAGAAAATGGGTATAGACAGTCATAGGAAAAATAATTTAAAAATAATAAAGTCTTTAAAGAGAGAGTTAAGTAATATAAAGGAAAAAGTCACATGAAGATGGGAATATTCAGGGAGTCTAGATCCTGTATGGTGTTGTGTTAACTTTGAATTTATTGAATTCTGATGAGCAAATGACAGCTGCTGAGAGACATTGAATTGGAAAAGGAAATGATGAATTAAACCAGCCTAGATACTTTAGGGATGTCTTAACTTTAAAATGAAATGAGTGATGAGCAAAGGGGTCCAGACGAGGCTGGTGAAACCCACAGAAACAGCTGACCTGAACAAGAGGGAGCTCTTGGTCCCCAGACTGATAGCTGGGATACCAGCATGGGACTGATCCAGACCCCAGGAACGTGGGTTTCAGTGAGGAGACCTCAGAAATCTACGGGACTTCCTGTAGTAGTTCAGTACTTATCCCTAGCATTGGTGTGGACTTTGGGAGCCCAATACACATAGAGGGATACTCCCAGAGTCAAAACACACGGGGTTGGCCTAGGCCCTATCCCAAAGGCTATGATAGACTCTGATGACCCCCTATGGAAGGCCTCACCCTCCCTGGGGAGCAAAAGGATAGGTGATAGGTAGGGTTTTAGTTGCAGGGGTGGTAAGGGAGGAGGGTAGGGAGTGGAAACTGGGATTGTCATGTAAAATAATCTTGTTTCTAATTCAAGTAAAAAAAGAAATAAAACATGGATTGTGTTGAGGGAATGGTTATGCTTTTGTTTCCATGGGAAATGAAAGGCTGTTGATTCTTTCAAGGTTAATAGAAATTAAGCTTGATGCAGGGAGACATCCTGAAAATTTTGGCTGCAGATATAAAGAAATAAACCAAAAAAATTACAGGACATGTGACATATATGCTGATCCCTCTGCGTGGGAACACTTCTGAAACCCGACAACAAATGTTACAACTAGTTTTCCCAAGACCATTGTCTCAAATTTCTCAGGGTCCCCTAGAAATTCCATCACCCCCAGACAACAGGAAGCAGTGTAGAGAATATAAAGCCCACATTCCCAAGAAGTGGGGTGAGTGGTTTTTAGTCATTCAGTGGGTTATGGATATCTGTCATCACTGGGGGGAGG